CAAAACAAGATAGCCACTAATGGGACTTTACTTCCTTAGACAGAAAACTCAGGAAGATTTGGATGGATTTCTTTCTCTGGATTGAGCTGTTTTGATGTTAAACATTATGAAAAAGTATAGGAGCTCTGGTAGCATAGTGCCTAAGGCACTTGACTGCTAACCAGAACGCTGGCGGTTCAAACCCACCAGCCACTCCTCGGAAGGAAGGTTGAGCAATCCTACTTCCGTAGTGATACTGCCTCAGAAACCCAAGGAGGGGTCGCTATGAGTCAGGGCTGACTCGATGGCAAAATAACAACAACAACATAGAAATCAAATCATTTCTGAGTCTGTTTTGATCCCCGAAGCTAATTTGTTACATTTCTAACCATTAGCACTCACAATGGTGAGGAACAAGCATTTAGAGATGACCTAGTCTCCCTCCACTTAGAGGGAGACTAGGGCAAGGTGCCCCCATTTGCAGCCATAGGTCTTTGCTGTGGCTTAGTGATAGTGGTGATAGAGAATAAAGCTAGGAGGAGTTTCTCCTTACCATGTCTTACTCTCCAGGGTTCCTTCTAGTCCTTAAAGGTCTATCACAAAGTTTTAAAATATTTGGATTGTGCAGGGAAGGCACTGGCCTGAATTGGTAAAAGATACCCCAATGGAATCTCCTCTCAAGAACAGTCTCCTTATAGTCAGGACCCAATGGCATTGAGAGGTGTGAGAATGTGGTAAAGGATTTTCAGTTCTTCTTATTCTTTGGAGGAAGTTTTTGCCATTTGGAGATTAACATTCATACTTTTAATTCTTTAGGAAGAGCCCTGAAGGTAATGATGTGTGTGTCATAAGTCACAAATTGAAACTTTATACCTCACACTTCAAGCCTGTTGTGTGCCAGTTACATAGTTGGTGAGCCTGGTAGACTACCTACAATGTGGGGTCTGTGGTGCTCTAGCATATTGTTGTATCTTACTGACAATTTGATTTTGAGTTGAATGGGTAAGAATTAATGGTACCTGGTTTTGTTTGGCTTAATAGACTATTAAATTTTACTATCTCACATATGAATAAGAGAGCTGAAAACTTCTAATTTCACGGCAGGAGAAATGTGCATGGAATTTGTCTCTCCGTTCAAAAATGTTTATTATAGTTGTTTTTGTATTTTATTTTAGGCAAAAGTCAACAACTCTAGTTTAATTGGAGTGGGCTATACTCAGACTCTGAGGCCTGGTAAGTATCCTTAAGTAAGATTTTTGTTGCTAATACTTCAAAATTTTTCTTTTTTTGTGAATCTTTCAAGTATATAGAAGTGTTAAAAAGAGTACAGTGAAGACCTATTTACTTTTGCCACATTATTATTCCTTTCCTCTTTTTGTTTTTTTTGGCTGCGCCATTTGGAAGTTAATTGCAACTGTGATGACACTCCCCTCTCATTGCTTCAGCCTTCATCTCCTGAGGATGAGGAGGCTCTGCATAATCATAGTATTTAAGAAATATATATATATAATCATATATTTAAGAAAGCTAACTCCATAGTATGTTTAATATCCACTCCTTATTCAATTTCCTCTCTCCTGCCTAAAATACCTTGTGGTAGTTTTTATTTCTCCTGAGTTCACGCATTGCGTTTTGTTACCTGTCTCTATAGTTTTTTTTCCTCTACATAGTATTTTAAACATGCCTGTTAGTTGGAGCAGCACTTAAGTGCACATATATATCACCTGGGGAATCTTGTTAAAAATGCATATTCTGGTCCACTAGGGTCTGGGGATGAAGCTCTGGTAGCATAGTGCCTGAGGCACTTGACTGCTAACCAGAAGGCTGGCGGCTCAAACCCACCAGCCACTCCTGGGAAGGAAGGTTGGGCAATCTACTTCTGTAGTGATACTGCCTCGGAAACCCAAGGAGGGGTTGCTATGAGTTGGGTCCAACTCGAAGGCACATAACAACAACAAGGGTCTGGAGGTTAGTTCTGCATTTCTAACAAGCTCCCAGGTCATGGGTGCTACTGTTGCTAGTTCCTGGACCATCCTTTGAACAGCAAGGTTTGACACTGATATCTAAAGTGGTGCCCCAATGGCACAGTGGGTAAAGCACTCAGCTGCTAATCAGAAAGGCTAGCAGTTTGAACCCACCAGCTACTCCATGGGAGAAAGATGTGGCAGTTAAGCTTCTGTAAAGATTTACACAGCCTTGGAAACCCTATGAGGTAGTTATGCTCTATCCTGTAGGGTTGCTGTGAATAAGAATTGACTGGATGACCATGGTTTGTCTGGTTTAATCTGTACTCTTAACTCAGACTTTCCCAAAATGTCTCCATTGTAGTTTTCTATAGCCTATTAAAATTCCCACATGGCATTTGATTGTTTATGTTTAGTCTGGGTAATATATTGAATGTTACTATATTTTTTAGAGTATTTTGAGTTTTATTAATGTTTTTATGCTCTGTCACTTGGTACCTTACCTCAGATATGGTCTCTTTCCAACTGAGTTTTGGACTCTCCTGGCATTTGCAGTTCTCTCTGGTATCCTAGGTATTTCCATGTGCTTCTGGTGACTGGCACTAGTAGATCAATTGATAGGCGAGGAAAAGTGACAGGCAGCTTCTAGGTTGATTATTAGAGAAGACTGCAAACTCTTGTGAAGTGTTTCGGGCACATGTGATTGTCTTTTTGTTTACAGGTGTAAAGCTTACCCTGTCTGCTCTAGTAGATGGGAAGAGCATTAATGCTGGAGGCCACAAACTTGGGCTCGCCCTGGAGTTGGAGGCTTAATCCAGCTGAAGAAACCTCTGGGAATGGATATCAGAAGATTTGGCCTTAATATATTTCCATTGTGACCAGCAGGCTCGCCCCCCCCCCCCCTGATCGTGATTGAAACAAAGGATGATCTAAACAAGAGCTGTATTTTAAATATTTAGACAGTTACATGTTAGCTGGTTTCTAGTTGAATTGGTTATCTAGTTACCAATGCTGCAGTCCTGCAGTCACCTATACATTATTTAAATGTATTTAACTGTTAAATGCGCTACCCACCAATAATGAAATAGACCTTTATGAAAACTGTGCAATTGTGTGCATGTTTGTTTTTACGTTCCTTTTAATATTTGATATTACCGTTGAATGAGATGGATCAGTGGATGTTTAAGATGAGGTTAAAATTTTTTGTTATATTCAACCATCATTAGAAATACTTTTGGTATCCTAGAACATTACAAATTATGAATAAAACAATATACATAATTATGACTCCAAGTATTTACAGAGTTAAAAATCTCCCTGGTATCTAGCTATTACTTTTTTTTTTGGTGAGCATTTTGCGCTTTACCGGTATCTGTGCCACAGAGTCACTCTGTGTCCCTAGAGTAATTCCTTAAGCTTTTTTAGATTGTAATAAGAGGATATATGCTTTTATACTCTAAAGTTTGTAAATTTGTGGGAAATTACATTGCACTGTTGTTCACCCTAGCAAGGCTTGGAGAGTAAATCAAGAAAGGAAAATGAAGGCATGGTGCTGAAGAGTTACATACACATACCCTGGTGAGGTGCTGCTGTTGATAAGAGATTTGGTGAGATGGGACTAGATAAAAGGAGGGAAATGGCATAAAAGGACTGAAAGGGGCATCAGTGAGAGGTCATTACATCCCTCCAGGGAGACACTGGACTGAAAAGCGGAGCCTAGATACAAGACCAGAGGCAACCCTCAAGGCTGTCTAGCCATTGGCCCTTCTTCATCTGGAGTGAAGACTTGCACATGAATGATAGAAATTAATGATAAATGATTCTGGGTGGAAAATTGGAGTTTCCTGATAAAAGATAGTTTGGAAGGCATGATCAAAGGTTAGAGAAGGGGGTGGGGGATTTAGGCAAGAAATCTTTACTGCTAGACCTTAAGTGCAGTTTGACATTTGAGAGAGAACAATAAGAAAGTGCAGTAAACTTTGGGACTCATCACCTAAGAAATGATAAGATACTTCAGATTTCCAGGTGAAGAAACTGATGACTGATTAGAGCCCAAGTAAGGTCTTCATCTTCACACAGGTAGACTGGGGTCACAGATACCCCTTCTGGTCCTACTGTATGTGTCCTAAAGAACTGGCTTTATTGGCCTGTGTGAATCAGAAGATTGGTTTTCTTTAAGGCTCACAGACACATATGACTTGGTGGCAGAATTCTGGAATTTGAATCAGGATCTATTGCAAGGTAACAAGGAAAATAGAGGAAACAATGTCTGTGTAAGCTAGGTGTGAAAGCAACAGAAGTAGGACAAAAGTACTTAGACTTTGGCCAGTGGCCATCATCTCTGAGAACCAGGCCATCTGATACAGACCTGAGGATCTCAACACTGACTTGGGTGTATTTTCTTTCTGCCTTCCCTGTGAAGTCCTAGAGGAAGATGATAACAACTCTCACAAACTACTGTTGGTGGAGGAAACCTGGTCACAGAGGCTACCTACAGATAAGAAACTCTCTGGGTGGCTTGCTGCACCTTAGGTAACAGTGGCCCTCCCTCATGTTGAGGCTCACACCTGAAAGGGGTGGAGTTCACCTTTAGATTCTGTGGAGGGGAGGCAAATATGAGGAACTATCATCTCTGCCCATTGGATGTGGCCAGGGATGCAAACCATTAAGTGTTCTGCCAGCCAAAAGGTTGGCTGGCAGTTCTAACCGCCCATAGGTACCTCCAAAATCGGATCTGCTTCTGACAGGCCACAGCCTTGAAAACCCTGTGGAGCGAGCCAGTTCTACTCTGCATACACTGGGTTTCCATGAGCTGGAAACCATTCCGCAGCAGTTAACAAAGGTGGGTGGATGGAAGATCAAAGTGTGACCCCCCAAGGCCACCTTTTGCTGAAGAAGCTGCCTACATTGGGCCTTCTTCCCTCCCCTACTTCAGTGCTACATATGCAGGCTCAGGAGATGGTGTGTCCCAAACCCCACCTTTATTGGTTTAAAGTTCAGGGTCGATGGCCGTGGTGTCAGGTCCTTTCCCTTCAGGTCACTCCCTAGGGGCCAGCCCTAGATCTTGAAGGCCAAGGTGAGGCCATCACCCAGGGGCAGAAGACTGATGTGGACCCTTGCGTCCCGCAGGATGCGCTCATTCAGGTTTCGCACGCACTGGGCCTCCTTATCCTTCTGCTGAGGTTGCAACACCTCTCCGTGCCACAGGACCTGCGGAGGGGCAGGCATAGGGTAGCAGAACCAGTCAGTCTTTGGAGGGCAGGGCTTGGGGGAAGGTGTCTGAAGTAAGAGGTCAGAGGAGAACTGGAGACCATGGACCAGATCAGGAAGAAGCCTGACAATTCTGGCTCAGGTACCTATAGGAATGTACTCGGTGGGGATTTAGGACATAGTGGAAGGGCATAGGGCACACATAGGAATGGTCCTGGAAATGGTCCTATTTTTGACTGCTAAGCAGAAGACTGGCAGTTCAAACCCACCAGCCACTCCTTGGAAGATTAGGCAATCTACTCCTCTAAAGACACTGCCTCTGAAACCCAAAGAAAGGTCGCTATGAGTTGGATCCGACTCGACGGCAGTGAATTTGGTTTTTTGGTTTACTGGTCCCTTACACTGAGTATGGCGAGAATGCCACCAGGTCGCAGTAGCTGTAGGCAGCGCTCATAGTAGGCAGCACAGTTTTCCTTGTCTGCATCCACCACCGCTACGTCGAAGGTGCCAGCCTCGCCTGCAGCTAGGAGTTCCTCTTTGGGGGAAAGACAAGGAGGGGGTCAAATGCAGTTGAGTCCGCAGACCCTAGCAATTCTGCAGGCCGGCCCAGGCTCTGTGACAGACAGTACCAGGCTGGCTAGGACCGGCCATTCAGGGGCTTCCATCTCTAGGTGCCAGGCCTCACCCTGAGGTGGCTGAATACCATGAAGCTAGGTGGGAGAGGGTCTATCATTGTCCAAGCTCCCTTACCCCCTCATTCCCACCCCTTCTCCCCACAGATCTGGCCACTAGCTTGTGCCTCAGTGCTCCCATTTGGGAAATGGAGCCACATCCCTTCCTGATCCAGTGCTCACCCAGGGTCTCCAGGGCAGGCTTTAACCGAAGGTCAATCTTGTGCTCCTCCTCAGCCTGTAGAAAGGGGACACACCATGAGGCAGGATTCCAGGAGCCCAATGAGGGTGTCAGTTATGTGGGACACTCACCTGCCTCCACAGGGGCCGCCCCAGCTCTGGGGGTCCAGCATTCACCTCGCAGGTCACCACTAGTCCGGCTGGGGGCAGGGCCAGGGCCAATGCCAGGGCAGAGTAGCCTGTGAAAGTGCCTGGGGGCGGGGCACACGCAAACTCAGGCACCCGTGGGGGGTGGCCCGGGCACCGCTGTCCCCAATAATCCTGGCCACGTGCTCCTACCCAGATCCAACGCCTTCTTGGCCTTGATGAGCCGCGCCAGGTTGGCCAGAAGCTGGGCCTGCTCACAGGTCATCATAGAATCCCCTTGCGGTTGCTCCAGGGTCATCTGTGTATGGAGGGAGGGAATTGCACTTGTCCAGCCAGTCAGCCACCCCTGCCCCAGGTTCTAAAGCCCCTAAAGGCGCGGGTGTGGGCATGGCCGGTGAGGACAGTCCCTCAGAAGCCACCTGCCACGCTCGGCCCGGGGAACCAGAAAGCCTAGAGAGGGCCACTGCCCAGCCCAAGGTCGCACTGCCACGTGGGACCGGCAAGGCCCAAGGTCGACGATCCCCGTTCCCGCCCCAGCCCTGCTGACCAGCCGCAGGCTCCGCAGCGCTGGATGCTCGCGTATGGAGCGGCTCAGTAGGTACTGCCAAAGCGGACTGTCCTCTGAGGGCAGCAGGCGCTTTTCTGGCCGGGACCACCAGGAGGGGCACCGTCTTCCTGTCGGAGGGGGATAGGATAGTGCTGGGTCTGGGCCTAGGCCTTCGGAGCTCCAGGGGTTAACCTCAGCCCCGCTAGCCACGAGAATTCGCGGGCTCTGCTCTCGCGCTCTCCCACCGCGCCCGCCCCGCCCGTGGGAGCTCTGAGGAGTGGGTGGAAGGCCTGGCTCTGCTCACCCAGGAAGAGGCCGGTGGCGAAGGCAGCTCCTAGTGCGGCCGACCCCAAGGCTAGCGCGGTGGGAACAGAGAACCGGGGAATAGGCAGGGTCATGGCGCGGGCAGGAGGCATCGGCTGTCAGGTCACGTGCACCGGACTCGGAGCCGCGGACCCGCGGGGCTCCGCCCTCTACGTGCAAAGCCCACGGAGTCGCGGCCTTGGGCGCCATCTCGTGGCAACACGGCCTCTCTGCAGGGCCCGCCCGAACGAGCCATCCGGTGGCCGTTTGTGGAACTGAGTCCAGGGCAGGGCTCCCACTCTGTACTTAAAGGCTGAGTTCTTCAATTTCCCCTCAACACTCACCCACGCGCCCAGAGCCCCACGCGCCCAGAGCCCCACGCGCCCAGAGCCCCGCGCCCACGTTCTAGAGGCCTCTTCAGATTATGCTTCTCGCCACTTTTTCGCCTGAGGCCCCTAGGGCGTATGTGCATGGAGGAAGGCGTCAGTTTAACGAGATAGTAAGTAACTAGTAGAAAGCAATACAAATTAAAGGAGCCTCGGAGAGGGACTGAAAGAATCAGGCCGCCGCGGGGAGAAGCACTAGAGTATCAGGCTGAAGGAGAGAAGGACCTGATGAGGGACACAACCCAGCAGTGGAATTTAGGCATACTGGGTGGGACGAGCCTGGTTGGGGAGGCTGTTAGAATCCTGCCTTTGGGTGCTGACAGATAAGGGTGTGTGATCTGAGGGCGTCAGTCTCCTCAAGTCTCAGTTTCATCAGTATAAACTGGAAACCCCAATCCTTACTGTAAATGACACCAGATGTCACAGCCTGGCACTCAGTTGGTGCTCAATAAGTGGCAGCTGTTGTTTTGACCATATACTGGGGTAAAGATATCTTGGGGGAGGGCTGTTCGGGCTGGTCTGCTGGGACACTATCTAGTGAGCAGTGAGCAGTGAAAGACACTGTCATGGTTTGTATTCTAGTCGAAGCTCACAATCTGGCTTCAGAGACCACAGGATGGTGAGTGACCCAAGCATCATAATTTCCTCATCTGTAAAACAGTTGATTATAGTCCTAAACGCACAGAGTTTTGTGGGGATTAAATGAGAAAATCCAGTTGAGGGACAAACCTGGCACTTAGTGGGCTATAAATGTTACATTAAGAAGGAGTCAAAGTCCAGAAGGCCTAAAGCCGTCCGGCTGCTGCTGTGCAGACTAATGAGTCCAGTTAGTAATGACATTGGCCAGGCTGAGCTCCATGAGCACAGCCCAGAGGCAGGCTTGTTGGGGGATTAGTGAGAGAGGGGTTTGGCTGAAGCTGAAAGCCAGAGTGAGCTGGAGAGAAGCTTGAACATTGGACTGGTCAGAGCTGCCAGAATCCTGAGGCCTCCAGGAGGTGGCATAGGGGGAGGGGGAGGTCTGAAGCTAGGCTCCTGAAGCCTAGGCCCAGCCTTCAGCTAGAGACAGGGAATGAGACTGACCCTTTGAACCATCAGTCAGCAGGCTTTCTCCAGGGTGGACTCTAGTAGACCCCCAGATGCTTTGTCCAGCCCCTTCCAGATTCTGCTTTAGGAGAAACACCTTCCCCTTTATCTTTTGACCCTCTGCAGCCTGCTTGGCCCTATCAAGTCTCTTTGACCTATGAGCCCCATTTCCCCACGTAAGAACTGAGGCTGCTGGTCTCTTCTCCCCCAGAGCCAAGTACACTGCAGGCACTAAATGAATGTTCTCTAAATTGTTTCCTGTGAGTACTTGTGTGTTCCTTGCTGTTAGCGCACTGGCCTACAACCGTAAAGTTAGTAACAATTGTTATTAGCTGCTATGAAATTTTCCCCACTCATGGTGACACCATGCACAATGGAATGAAACCATTCCGGTAGTTGGTTGTGGATCAAACCATATTAATCCATAAGATTTTCTTTCTTTCTCTTTTTTTTTTTTTTTTTTGCTTTTTGTAATTTATTTTAGTTTCTGTTGTTGAGAATATACACAGCAGAACATATATTGATTCAACAGTTTCTACATGTACAATTCAGTGACATTAATTACATGCTTCTCACCCTCTTTCTAAAGTTGTTCTTCCTCCATTATCATAAACTCACTGCCCCTTAAGTTTCCTATCTAATCTTTTGAGTTGCTGTTGTCAATCTGCTCTTACAGAAACAGATCTTAAAGGAGCACAGTGCTCAAGGCAGACATTCTTTACTGGTTAAGCTAAACTATTGCTTAGTTGTAAGAAGACTGCAAGGATGCTTTTGGGTTAAGGTTCAGAGATTATCTCAGAGCAGTAGTTTCAGAGGTTCATCCACCATCCATAACTCCAAAAAAGTCTAGAGTCCATGAAAATTTGAAATTCTGTTCTGTTTTTTTCCCCTTTTGATCAGGATTCTTCATGGAATCTTTGATTAAAATGTCCAGCTGGGATAACTGGGAACCATCCAGTTCTTCTGGTTTCATGGCAAAGGAGGCAATTATTCATATAGGCAATAAGCTACAATTCCATTTCCTCCTCCTATTCTTGACTCTCCTTCTTCCTCTGTTGTTCCAGGTGAAAAAAGAACAATTGTTGTACCTCAGATGGCTGCTTGCAAGTTTTTAAGACCCCATGTACTATGTAACAAACTAGGAGATAGAAGACAAGCACTAAACACATTACTAGGGAAATAATTAGGATGTCCTGTGACACCATGACCCTAAACCTTCCAACCAAGAAACCAAACCCCATAAAGTGGTGTCATATATAAGCAACCTTAGCAGCTACTTTTTTTGTTGTTATAAATATGTCTAGGGGAGCTCTGGTAGCATAGTGGCTAAGACACTTGCCTGCTAACCAGACGGCTGGCGGTTCAAACCCACCAGCCACTCCTCGGAAGGAAGGTTGGGCAATCCTACTTCCGTAGTGATACTGCCTCGGAAACCCAAGGAGGGGTCGCTATGAGTCGGGTTTGACTCAAGGGCACATAACAACAACAACAACATAAATATGTCTATCACATAACTTTTGCCAATTCATCTTTTTACAGGTATACAACTTACTGACAACAATTGCGTTAATTGGCTGTGCAATTCTACCCTTAATCAATGCAATTTTTCCATCACTGAGAACTGAAGTTCAGTACCCCGTAAGTACTTTCCCCCGTCTCTCTTGACCCTGGTAACTACTAAGAAACTCTGTTCTCTATTCATTTGCCTGTTCCTGTCTTTTCATATAAGTGAGGTCATCTAGTATTTACCCTTTTGTGATTGACTTATTTCACTCCACATAATGTCTTTCAGCTCCATCCATATTGTAGCATGTATCAAGGCATCATTTCTCCTACTGACTGAGTCATATGCCATTGTATGTATGTACCCTATTTGTTTATTCATTTGTTGTTGGTGGACATTTAGGTTGTTACCACTTTCTGTGAATAGTACTGCAATGAACATTGGTGTACAAGTATCCATCTGAGTCTCTGCTCTCAAGTCTCTTGAGTATATACCATAGGGTTTTCACTGGCTTTTTTGGAAGTAGATTGCCAGGACTTCTGGCTAGTCTGTCTTAGTCTGGAAGCTTCACTGAAGCCTGTTCATCATCATAGGAACACACAGTCTCCACCGACAGACAGGTGGCGGCTGCGCTTGAGGTGCGTTGGCCGGGAATTGAACACTTGCTGGTTTCAAGACACAATACCTCTGGGTCCCTGTGAAGCTGTGACATTAGTCTCATTTTATGGAGGAGGAAACTGAAGCTGAGAGAGACTCACTACCCCACCATGCTTACAGCCCCAGACCCTGCTCTGCTTCCCTGTGGGAGCTTTGACCCCTGTAGCCCGAAGGAGAATACACAGGGGCTCCACTTGTGCAGGGGACCCAGCACGGAACCAGACCTCAAGAGGCCTGCCTTCTTGGCACCACTGTGGGGCTCATCCACAAGGCAAGCTGGCATGGGGAGGCTCCTGGGCTGGCTGGGGCTGCAGATCTGCCTTCTCTCCCTTCTCTGGGGGTCCACCTTGCAAGCTGACACCGGAAACCACCACCCGCCCAAGCCTGGCTTCAGATTGGAGCCGGGTGGAGGTGGGGGGGAGAGTTGGGGAAGGGAGGCATGTCACCATATATCCCCGTCAGATTAAAAAACTAATTTGAAAAGATTAATGTATTCCATTCTTGTTACGCTGGCTCTGATACCTCTGGGCCTGCGGCCGCTCTGCCTCCTGATTATTGAATTTTTATGGCCTGGTAATTAATTGCAGATTCCCTGTTTTGTTCTATTTCTTTTTCTCTGACATTTTAATTTCAACAAAAAGCAGTGGTCTCCATGCAGGCTCTCTCTGGAGATCCTAATGGTCTATAAAACAGAATGACTTATAGACGTGGCACCCACTTCAGTTGGCGAGCGATTGTTTGAAACCTTGCTGATCACGCAAAATTTAATTTTTCCACCTCCCTCCCCCTTTTGCTACTCATTTCTTGTCTCTTTCGTTGCAGCACCAGCGTCTCAGCTCACAAATAAAGGGAGGAAAGTGTCGCCTCCGAGTCTGTTACATGGCCTTTCCCTAGAAGGCCAGGGGCTGAAGACCAAGGGGGATTGATTCTTCTCCTCAGCAGTGGCTTTGGTAGTGGGGGAGCCCCGAGGATGTGGGCAGCTGTCCCCAGCAGAGGGAAGGGGCTGGGTGGCGGGGGAGGATCATTTCCACCTGTCTCTCAGTTGCCCTTTTGGTCAAATGCAGCTGCCCCATTGGACACCAATGAGCCCACAGACTCATGAACAAAGACAATGTGTGTCATCCTTACTTGCCCTGGTACCCACACCATGAAGTGAGGGGTTTGATCTCACATGGGTTTGTAGTCAATCTAGGTCACTGGGAACACCTGTCCCCAAAAATGGGTCTTGAAGAGGCCCCTGAGTTTCCATCCTCATTCCTCTAACTCCTACTTCTCCCAGCCCTGCTGATGTCACACAGGCTGAGCCCCCTGACCCCCAGGGCTCCCCTGGGCTGAGCAGGGTGGGACAAAAGAGTAAGTTACAGGATCAAGTTGGGCCCAAGGGATTGGCACTGAAATGTCATCAGGGACCAGACAGTGATGGAGTAAGTGAAGGGAGGGCAATAGAGGGTAGTGGGGACTGTGG